TGAAAAAAGAAACATCGTTAAGTGAAGCAGGGGACCTAAAATCGCATTCGTTATGCGAAGCATGGTCCCAAACTTCGCTAAGCGAAAATCGCCCATAGGAAACATCGTTATACGGTGCATATTATTTTCTAAAAAAACACATCGTTATGCGAATTCATTGCTAAACGAGGCACTCGTTAAGCGAGGCACCACTGTATAGGGGTGCTTGTAAAGACATGGGGTGGAACCCTGAGGTCAGGATGCCAGAGACATAAATGAAGCATCAGAGATGTTATCATTTCCCAATTGCCCTACTCCTTTGAGTATGCCTTTTATTTCCTTTTGTTTTTAATAAAATTACTCTTAGAAACGGTTTAGTGGGAACATATGTGTTTGTATTCAGCAGAGCTGTCTTTGGTTTAAAATCTAAGTCCAAATGCCTCATTGTTCTTGGCCAGAATACTGGAACAATTTTGTCCAGTTATTGGCAGGGGGGATAGTTGCAGCTGTAATAAAATTTGCAAAAGAAAGGAGTTTTGGGGCCAGCAGTTGGTAAGAAGAGGCTGCTGGGTTTCCCCCTCTCAGCTGTAACAGCCCCGGGCTTCAGATCCCCTAAAATGCTTATAGTGCTAAGGTGCTAGAAACATCTCAAAATGTAGCAAAATTGCCCCAGATTCCTAGAGGGCCCAGTGGGACATTCTAAGCCATACCATTTTTTTCTTTAAAAAATTTTTTGAACTTTTTTGGGGAAAATGCTTGGTGACTGCATGTGAACCCCTGGGGGCCACCCCAGTTGATATAATCACAACTAGAAAAAAAGCATTTCAAGTGGAAGTGTGGCAAACAAGGATTGTTTTCTTCTGAATCAGTTTGTGTGTGTGTGTGTGTGTGTGTGTGTGTTCGTTCCCATGACCTGTTCAGTACTATATTTTGGGAACATTAAAATGACTGAACATTCATACAGTATCTGGTGTTAAAATGTGATACAATTCTTACTCACTGTCAAGGAAAAGGTAATTTTGGTGACAGTAATGTGAATTTCTATTAGAGCAAGTTTTACCTGCGGCTTAGCTGGAGCTCTTGCATCTAATCCCATTGATGTTGTAAGAACTCGGATGATGAATCAGAGCATCTTGCAAAGTGGATCACAGTATGGCTACAAGAGTACTTTAGACTGCTTTTTTCAGGTAGGTGGATCTTGAATGTGAGAGAGATTTTGTATTGTAGATAAAGGCCAAGTTCAAACTGTTCTAGCAATCATGGTTTATGGATGCCAAGGTTTGAATCTTAGACTCACATAATTTCCCCTCCTCCCTGGGCACATGAGAAGGAGAGAAGAAAAAATTGTTTTCATTTTAAATCAGGTTATGAGATACGAACTTGAGGTTGTTCCTTGTTCTAATCCTGGCTGGTTGAAACAAACCAGGATCAAATGGGGGTTGAATATCAACCAAAAGCTTTTATCCTTCTCCTTACATTCAGGAGGAGGAGATGTAGGGTACAGAAACAAGGTTTGTATAGGCCCATCCATGATAATCAGAACCCTCTAGTATATGCATTCTATCCCAAGTTGCTAATTATCTGAATGTTGTTAAAGAGATTATTCCGTTAGTATGTCTGAAATATTAATATATTTTAGTGCATCACATATTCATTCCTGCTTCATTTCCCACAACAATCCACTTAAATTAATGATCTTATCTAATTGGAACAAGTAATGAGACGTTCAGATTTTAAATCCCTAAAAACAAAACAGTTGGACTTGCTTACCAGAGTGTACTAGTTGGGTGCTCTGAAACAGAAATGCTATATGGTACTGATACAGATAAATTTGTGACAGTCTGCAGATTGATGCCCATAATTGTGAATTCCCATCTCTCATTACATCCTAATATAGTGGTGGTCTTAACATTTATATTATCAGTCCTGCCACCTTGCCTTCATATAATTTAATTGTTTTCAGTTAAACTGTGGATGTGTTTGCATTTAATTTTTATAATTATTATGTTTATTATTTTGAATTATTGTTTGATGATATGTTTGTTTAATGTGTAAACTGCTCAGAGTGGCCTTGGCAGCCAGATGGGTGGTATAAAAGCATTCAGACAAACAAATAAATATTTTACATGGTTTTCAAATATGTTCTTTTCTCGTTGCTAACAGACATGGAAGCATGAAGGATTTTTTGCATTGTATAAAGGATTCTGGCCAAACTGGTTGAGACTTGGTCCTTGGAATATTATTGTATCCTTTTTCAGAAGTATTGAAATGTATTGTGTATTAACTACATGTAGAATTTCTACCAAATATAGCTACCAAATTATTTTAAGACTACATTATGTTATTTCGATAACTTCAATCTTAAACTTTTTTCCTTTTCAGTTTACTATGCAGTACCAGCAGCTCGCCTTGTAATGAAAAAACTTCACAAATTCAAGGGTTTTTAAAATTTCTGAATCCATAAATTCATTCCCGATATTTATTTACTTTTATTCATGTTCATGCCGTCTAATGGAAAGGGCTAGATAGTGTAGTAAAGGTATGCAGTTTTTAACATAGACTTACTTAGTATTTTTTTAAAAACTTGTAATAATACCAGGATTGCTGTTCTGCTTTTTTAAAATGGGAGAGTATCATACTGTTATGGGGGTGTTAGTGAGTGACAGAAAATGGATTAGCCACTGTGCGACCTGGCAGAGAGGCTTGTCATCCCGCCTCCAGCCAGGAATGGCTAATCTGTTGCAGAGCACAGCACAATAGGAAGATGCTGCTGCGCCGAACAATGAGTCAATGGCCCGGCTCCATGGGGCCTTATTTCCACCTGCTGGAAGGTATTTGTCTATGAATACGAATACCCCCATCTCTAGTCACTACCAAGCAGCAGTACTTGAGGCATACTGTAACACATGAAAGAACCTTAAAATAATTATAGTAACATTCAGAATTTAGTTCTTCCCATATATGTCTGCATCCCCCTTTATTGTTGTAATTATGTTTAAAGCCTTTAAAAACTTCTGTGATAACCCCTTCACTGTTCTCTTCATATTGACAAACAGATATTACTCAGGGCCATTTAAATCTGACATGAAAATCTAGGATGCATTTGAAAAGAAAAAAACTGGGAGGTGGGAGTCACTGCTTGAATAAAAGCAGAACTGTTTTTATATCCAAGTAGTTGCATCACAGCTATCTGCCACCAGGCAAGTGAGCTGCTAAACAGCTACTAGAAGAGCAAGAAGGTCTGCCAAAAAGGCAAAAGGAGGGGAACAATATGTGATGGAGTTCTGTCACCTCAATGATGGGGTTAATGTCTGTAAGGTAGTGTCTATGCTGCATTTTTCCTTAAAAACAAGCATTAGTTCTTCGTTACATATGAACAGCTGAAGAACCTGGAGTTCTGACTGACTGAACACTGAAAGGTTTCAGTCCTCTTGGTGAAGCTGCTCTTCCATGCATCATCCTATGGTAGACAGCAGGCCTGACTTAACGGAAGTGTCAGTGGAAAGATGTTAAAATGTTTCGAATGTTGTGGAGCTGAAACAAAGTTTAGTAGACATCAGAATAATAATTTTAAATGTTTTTGAGCATCCTAAATAATAACATCATTTAGGTGGGAGGGAACATTCCTGCTTAAAACAAAGGATAAAACTGAATTTCCTGCTTCTTAAAATGTGATTAGCTATGTACTTTTGAGAAGTGTTGCTTTCACACCAGTGGATGCACTGTGGTTTAAAACACACTTCTAAAAGTATGCTTCTGTTTAGTGCAGGATTTCACACATCATGGTCACAACTTTGAAACATACTAGTGATTTGTATAGTGTTTTAGGATTGAAAATCCCCTTTTTTTAAAAAAAAACTGTTACTACACCTCGAGTTGTTACTACTCAGGATTTCAGTCTTCTGTGAGACAGTACTATTAAACAGTGTTCAGAAACAAGAACCATGAAACAATCTAGAATTGAACATTTGTATTGGGACTTGTATTGTACTCATATTGTAGCCTCAAACCTTGGTTTGGAAACATTCCAAAAAAAATTGGTTCAGCCATATATTTTATGAGATCACAGCTGTTTGGAATGCTGCAAATCAAGTAATTTAACAAGCAATAAGGTAAGATAAGATAGCATGTAAGTCCGTGTTTAGTTCCTCTATTTGTGCCAAAACTACAGGTTTGCATTTTCAAAGAGTGAGAGATTTCAGGAATTCCTATCTGCAAGGCACGTAGTTTAGTTAGATATAGAAGATTATTAGTTACATCATTATAATGACTTTCAGCAGGACTTACAGTGGCAGATGGCCATGAGGAAACTTCAGCCAAGCTTTGTCTTCTCAGCATATGTGTGTGCATGAGGTCCTTATATGTAAGTCAGATTTTCATATTCTGATTCCATCATAAAATGCTTTCTATGCATTCATGTCTGAGATGGCACTGAGATCTCAGGGACGTTCAGATAAAAATTGTTTTTCACACAATAATTGTCTGTTGTAGGTGAGCCTTTTTTCACTGGCTATGATTAGGGATTCCTTCAGGCTTTCAAGAAAGAAGATGCCATCATAGAGGGTTCTTTGAGAAGACATTGATAATAGTAGACTTGAGATTTACAAGATAGGTGATATGAACCATAACATATAAAACATGTATGCTGTTACATACAAAAGTACAACAGAGCTGACCCTCCATGTCATCTAAGTCTATGTACATACCGGGTTGCATTGCTAAAATGGAAGTTAGTAGCATTTCCTGAAAAGTTGGCTTTGGAGTAGATGAATATAAGAATCTATTTGTGGATAGGAAGTGGCAATACATGGCTGTATGTACAAATGTCTCGTTAAAGCAGTAATTCATATTAGTAATAACACATTCCACTTAAACCAGCGATCAATTTGATAGCATTTCACTTTTATATTCAGTGTTGTTAAAGATGCACAGATGCACAAGCCACTTTTTACACTGATACTAATGAATGTCTCTTTTTTAATGCTTTAAGGTTATAGTTCATAGGGTACGATGTTTCCGTATACATATTTATAATCTTTGATAATCATTTTTGTGCAAATTACAAAAATACTGATTCTGATGTCTCACTTGAGCCATTTGTAAATTAATGAAGTAAAAAATTTAGCTTCTTTCTGCTCCCAAAAACAGTGGTTAGTTTCTGATCTTCAAATAAAGACAGGCATTTAGTAGTTATTACAGCAACCAAAAGAACAGACATTTGTAGACAGAATAGCAGGGTGCTTTGGCTTTCACGTTCTTTGGCGGTTCTGAGTCAGTGTGCTTTATGCACGTTGGCAGTTACAGACTGCAGAGAGAAGGGTGCTCTTAAGGTCAATGATGTTTCATAATGTCTTCTAGGTTGAGTACATAAAATCTCAGGTGTTGTCTGTTCAGTTGTGCTGATATTTGTGTTTAAATCACTGACAAACAATAATGCAATTATATTTTGAATCTTAAGTGCATGGCCAATGGTGGTTCTACTTGTTTGGCCACGACTGCAGACTAGTGAGTTCTTAAGTATATAGCAAGGTCAGTTGTGGTTTTACCATTATCCTGTAGATGATCTCCTAAGTGTTTTGCACTTAGAGACATAAAGTTGATTTCAAGATTGCAGATGATGTTCCGTTTAATAGAATATGCCATGCCAGTCACAGTTATCTTAATGGTGGTTGTCCTGGGGTACACATAAGTGATGAAGCACTTGCTTGTACACTTCACTGTATAATACTGTGATTCAAGATTGGTGATTTGAATGCTGCTCTCAAGTGTAAGGTAAAGCCATGTGGTAGTTATCGTACTGAACAATTGTATAGTAGGTTTTCCAAATCAAAACTTTTTAAAAGTTGAAAGTATCAGTTAGAAATTCAGTAAAAGGTCTAGCTTCATTGCTAACCTTTCTCCACTTTTAAGACACAAGTAGCATCTATAGTATAACATTTGCCTGTCGTGCCTCTTTTTCTAGGAGCAAAGACAGCTGAATGTCAGGTTCTATGTACCCTGATGTGGTACCAAAGTGTTAAAGGGCTTGTGATATAATCTGGATGTGTAGCCATTGAATATCTCTTTGCAGCAGTTTGAGTGTGTATTGGCTAGAGCAATTCTTTCTCTATATTTCTGTTTCCGCTTAATCTAGAAGTTATGATTAGGAAGCCTTTAGGGAAAGCTGTTGCAATAACTCTTTACGCAAGGAAAGTTAATATAATGAAGGGCCATGCAGAGTCACATACATTACCCCGCCCCCTGTGAAATCCTCATTGCCTTTGAGGGTGCTCCATGTCTTCATGTATTTGGTATGAGATGTGGCATTGATATGTGTGCAGTCTGCACAAGATGACGGGGTGGGGGCACCATGATAATTCAAGATTCTTGATCACATGGAAACGCTACATGTACTTAGGCAGACATAAGTAGAAGGTCATGGTGAATATATGATGGTCTAGGAACAAGGCTTTTGAAGGCGTAGAGAGAACTTTTGTGCCTTTTATAAAGGGAAAATATTCCCCTTCTGTTTGAGGGGAGTATTCTTCCAGTCTCTGGGAGGTCAGGAAAAATGGCCCTATGAACTCATGTTGTAGAAAAGGTATTCTGAAAATTAGCTTGAGAAGTTGAAAGTGGGTAATCATTACCAATATGTGAGTTACCACTGAACTAGGAACTTGACTGTGTAGTTTGAACAGCTGTTCACAAGCAGAATAAGCAAGCAGTTCAAATATTTATATGGCTTACATGTTTGTGTGCATAAGCACTTGTACATTACATTGAAAAATCTTCTTTGCTAATTAAATGTCTGGTCCTTTTTGTGCTGCAGCCAATCACTAGGAAGTATAAAATGAGTGCAATCATTTTTAAAAACCAGTCCGCCAAAGTTGTTTTAGCATTTTTAGTTTTAAATACTGTACAATAAATATTATTAAAGATTTATCTTGAATGTATATTGCTTGGTTTATCAGGCTACCAGAAGTCCTTATTTTTATTTATTCAGACATGTTTAGTGTCCCATTCACAATATATGCCTCCATTATGTTTTGTTAAGTTCAAATTTGACATTTTGCATATTGCAATACTCTGGGTTTCTAGTTTTTAAAGAGAATCTGCTTGATATGTCTGTTAACTTCTTTCTCTCAAAGGAAATAAATGTACTGATGGCTGTGGAAGTATTCTGATTATTGTGATTATTATTATTATTTATGACAATTTTATCTTCTGAACAAGGCTCTTGAATAATAAATGAATACTTAGTAAACCTAGGCTGTGTATGTTACATGTTGGTAAGAAAAATATTTCCCCAGCCGTATTAAAACACACACATAAAATAAATTCTCCATTTTGCCTGGAGAGATGAGCTCCTGTAGGACGAGTCAAGAAGGGCAAAATACTATTATCAACTTCTTGTTGGTACAGTATCAGCTTTCCTTTAATTTACTCTCCTATGAATCGGTGACATTTTGAAATATGTGAGAACCCTAATTACCGTGGTGGCTCGCATAGCGATCGCTCTGTTTTACGATGAAATTGCTTTGTGATGGACTTTTTGCCATCGCAAGAGCGATCGCTTTGTGATGCCCCCTATGGGAAAAATTCGCTTTGTGATGATCGCGGGGAAGCCATCAGCGCAAACCCCCGCTGATCAGCTGTGCTTCGGCTCTCTCCCCACCCCTCGCAGCACAGCTGATCAGCGGGGGCTTTGGGATGATCCCAGGGAAGCGCTCCCCCGCGCTCATCCCAAAGGCCCCATTTTCGCACAGCTGATCAGCAGTTCCAAAATGGCTGCCCGCTGTGTTGCCTCGCCTTAGAGGCACCGAAAATGGCCGCCCCTATGGAGGATTTTCGCATAAGGTGAGTTTTTAAGCCCATAGGAACGCATTAAACTCGTTTTCATGCGTTTCTATGGGCTTTTTAAACTCGCTTAGTGATGAAATTGCTTAGCGACGTTTTTTCCTGCACGGATTAACGTCACTAAGCAAGGCACCACTGGATTTTCTGTTCAGAAGACTGAATAGAAACAGTGTCACGTAGAAAGCTTTGGAAATGTTAATATAAGGGAAATGTACTCAATGGCTGAAATCATGTAACTTAGCATAATAAATTGGATCTGTGGGAGTATGGTGAGTAAACTCTAAAGTGTATGTTCCATTGAGTCAGTGGGCTCACTAATTACTTTATGTCAAGATTTGGGATGTGAGAGATGGCTCCGAGAGAAGTCAGTCTTCCAGGTTGACAGCAAAGAGACTCACAGAGACAGTAGGTTCCTTCACCAGCAGTGTATTTAACGACTATATACAATGGAAGTATGTATATCAGTCAACAGACTCAACAATACACTTTCAGCAAATGAATGGACAGCACTTCTGTCAGCAACTCTCCAACACAACACTTCACACATTACCATAGTGTGTAGCACTTATATACATAGTTTGAACAACCAATCACTGGACACATCACCTTATGTCTCCTCCCAGACATGTCCAATAGATTGCATTAGCTTCATGTGCTGACTCTGTGGCTGCACATCTGTTTTAAGATGGACGCCTCTTAGTAAACTTTGTTTCATATAATACAGAGTAAATTCTATATTGTGGGTCATAGTATCCTGACACTTTAGCATAGTAAGTCACAACTAGGCTCACTTTAGTCAGTGGAATCTACAGAGGAATTAACTCCTAGTGTGTCTTACTGTGCTGAGCAACAGGATATCAACCAAGTATTAGTATCCATTCAAATTTTAAAAACTTTTAAAGGCATGCTGTCCCCTTTTCTGCATATTTGTTGTTTAGTCATTAACTTGTGTCCGACTCTTCATTACTCCATGGGCCAGAGCACGCCAGGCCCTCCTATCTTCCACTGCCTCCCACAGTTTGGTCAAATTCATGCTGGTTGCTTCGGTGAAACCATCCATCCATCTCGTCCTCTGTCATCCCTTTCTCCTCTTGCCTTCACACTTTCCCAACATCAGGGTCTTTTCCAGGGAGTCTTCTCATGAACTGGCCAAAGTATTGGAGCCTCAGCTTCAGGATCTGTCCTTCCAGTAAGCACTCAGGGATGAGTTCCTTCAAAATGGATAGGTTTGTTCTCCTTGCAGTCCAGGGGACTCTCAAGAGCCTCCTCCAGCACCACAACTCAAAAGCATCAATACTTCAGCAGTCAGCCTTCTTTAGGGTCCAGCTATCACTTCCATATATCACTACTGGAAAAACCACAGCTTTGCCTATGCGGACATTTGTCAGCAAGGTTATGTCTCTACATTTTAAGATGCTGTCTAGGTTTGTCATCATTATCCTCCCAAGATTATTGCACTCCTTGATTTTTACAGGAAGGAAATCTGATGCTCTCTAGAAAAAGAAGTTGGATTATCTGTATCTTGGTCAAAACTGTCAATTCTCGACCAGTCCTTTCTAGCAACAGAACTCTGTAGGTGTATGATCTCCTAGAAAGATCGATCCAGATATTAATCCCTATCTCACGTCGTTTCCAAGAAGCAAATTTCACCTAACAGATTTCTCCAAAGGCTTAAACCAGCCAAACGATGGGCCGGAAGCTTGCCTTGGAAGGCGGGGAGGAGAGGGGAGGGGAAGAGGGGAGTTCCTATTGGCTGCGCAGGGATGACGTGTTCCGCGACGGCTCCTCCGCATCTGTGCTGGCGCTGCTTGGATGGTCGCGCGCTCGGTTGTCGGTTTGCGGGGGCCGGGCCGACTTCTTTTCTTTCTCCTGCGGCCCGATGGGAAAGAGGCGGGCCAGGGCCGGAGCCGAGCCCGTTGCAGGTGAGGAGGGCAGGCAGAGACTGGCGCAGAGGGAGCAGCGGCGGTTTGGAGGTGGCTGGGGAAAGAGGTGCCCGGGTGGAGGTGGGGGGTCCGCAGAAGACGCGAGGGGATTGGGGGTGCGAGGGAACGGAGGGGTCCCCCTTTCCTTCCCCCTCCCCGGGCCCGGATAAGGCGGGGGCGACCCCCTCCGCTGACCCTCTTCGTGAGGGCCCGGTCGCTCTGTGCCCTGCCTGCCCTCCCCGGGTGCCCCGAGCCTTCCCCCCCCCCGCGTCAAGGAGAGCAGCCTGCCGTCACCTTTCCCGTCCAGCATCCTTCCTCCCGGTATGGTTCCCCCCCCTTCTTCCGTTTTGTAAGACACTCGGGATGGGTTCCCCGCTTCCCTCCTAAGTATATTTTTGGTTCCTATTCGTGGTAGATCATTCCAGTCTTCCTTCAGCATCACGACAGAGTCAAAGCAGTCTTGGTGGCGGCGCTATTTTGGGATTTGCGGTCTCGGTGGGGTTCATTGCCAGGTCGCGACTGCGCGCCTGAGAGTTAAAAGGGCAGCTGGCCTCTCTTTGCGGGGGTCATAGTACAGTACATTTTTTTATCTCTTGTTTGTGCTTTGCATCCGTGGTGATTTAGATACGGCTGATGAAAGGTCACTAAATGTAAAGTTCCGGGGAGCAAAAGGACAAAATCCACTGTGCATCTACTGAAAAGGATGTTGGCTTGTATCCGGTGGAGCTTATTTGTTAGTGAATCCTTTTAAAATTGCAGCCCAAATATTAACGTGGTTGTGAATAGCTGGTTGAGAACAGAGTGGATTGAAAAATAATTACTTTTAAAAATCAAAGTGATTTAAATCATGATTTAATTTTTTTAAAAAAAATCAATTTAAAATAATTTAAATTGTCAGAACATCTGATTTACTGTAAATCAGGATTTCATTCAGTTTGATATAAATTAAATCTACCCTGGTTTATAAAGGCCTGCTCTTTGTTTCAAGGATTTTTTTACTCTGCTCTTTCGGCCAGAAAGAGTTCCTAGAGTGACTTACAAAGGTTAGTAGTATGGCAATCTCTGCTGTGAAGCTTACACTCTAAAAAAATTATCACAAGAAGAAAGGATTGAGAGAGGAAGCAAAAACACCAAACTCTGATGTGAGTTCTTAGCTTGCAGTGCTGTTATAATAACTAGGAAAAATGGAAAGCAGTTCAAAGACAAGACCTAAAAGTAACTGTTCCGAATGGACCTCAGACAAAGCTCCAGTGTTCTTTGCAAAATGCAGTCACGCTCCAAATCACAGTAAACTATACATACACAAGACAAGATGAAGGAAAAGAATACAGTGCTTGAGGAGAGTAATTTCCAGTTCTATTCTGCAAGAAAAAAGAAAAACTAAGACTGAGTGAACTTTATGTATGTATCTGCACAGAATCTGTTAAGTGCTCTTGTCTTTTGTCATATTCATCCATTTCAGTAGCTCATTAAACATAAAGGTAGCCCTGTATACAACATACAGGGTGCCTGCCCATTCTTTTCTGCTAGTGTGACATTACACCTGAAGAGCAGGGTGGGATAAAATAATTTTTTTAAAAAAATCAGTTTTTAAAATTTAAATTTGATTTTTTAAATGTAAATCAAATTTATTTTAATGAAATGCTTTTGGAGGAAAAATCTATCTAAATATAGTTTTCCAATTAAGATATAGTTCAAGTGTTATTATTCGGCATGAAATAGAACTTAGTTATGTTCTATTTCTTGACTCTGGGCAGAGCACAGCTGACAAATAAAGCTAAAGGCAGACCCAGGGAGCTTGCAAACAGGGAGTTAGCCGGGGGAGGCCCATTACAATTTTTTTGTTTCTTTGCTTATACGTACAGCTACATTTAATCTAACAAAACGAGGAACAAGTATCCTAAACCAAACAGTTGAAAGAAAGAAAAAGCTAGAAGGGATTATGGAGGGTGGAGACAATTCAGTTGTAGTTACCTGCAGGTTTGTGCTATGTTTGCCTTTGTTCTTGAGTGTAAAATGCTGTATACATGTAACATCTGTAAACTTGTGGTACTGTTAGAAGAGAAAGTCAGAGATCTAAAGCAGTGAGTAGCTATACTCAAGGCTATAAGGGAAGATGAAGCCTACATTGATAGAACTTTTGAGTAGAAGCAGCTGTCAAATGGGGCACTGTTGAGGGAAGAAAACCAAAACATTGCAGTGGAGGAAAATGCTGTAGAGCAGGGGTCCCCAACCCCGGGTCCGTGGGGTTCCTGGAAGGGCGGAGGGGTGTGTCACACTCGTGGAAGGGGTGTCATGCTCACACTTTGCCCCACTGCCCCCTTCTCAGCTGGCTGGCTGGCTGGCTTGCTCTCTCATTCCCCCCATCCGCCTTCCCGTCCCTGCTCCCAAGGCGATCAGAAGGAAGCTGAGTGAGCCAACAGGCGCCGGGCAACCACCTCGGGGAGAAGCAATGGGCTCAGCAGGTGGGTGATGGGGGTGATGACCATCCGTGAGTGAGAGCCTTGGACCCCCCCCTCCTCGGGCCGCCCACTCAGGTCACAAGGACTCCCGAACTCTCGCTCCAGCTCCCCAACCCCAGCAAAGCGGGTGGTGGTGGTGCAGGTACTCTTCAATATTTTTATTAATGACTTGAATGAGGGAGTGCAGGGACTGCTTGTCACATTTGCAGATGATACCAAATTGGGCAGAATGGCTAATAGCCTAGAAGACAGAAACAAAATTCAAAATGACCTTGATAGGGTGGAGCACTGGCATGAAAGCAAAATAATGAAATTCAACAGGGATAATTGCAAAGTACTGTACTGCACCTTGGAAAAAGAAACCAATTGCACAGTTACAAGATGGCTCAGCAAAACTACGAGTGAGAAGGATCTTGGAATTGTCATAGATCATAAGCTAAATACAGTGGTGCCCCGCATAGCGACGTTAATCCGTTCCATGATTAACGTCGCTATACGGAAACATCGCTAAACGGAACAAAAAAGCCCATAGAAACACATTAAAACACAATGCGTTCCTATGGGCTTAAAACTCACCGTTGAGCGAAGATCCTCCATAGGGGTGACCATTTTCGGTGCCTCTGAAGCGAGGAATCCATCCAGAAAACAGCGGTAGCCATTTTGAAACTGCCGATCAGCTGGCTTCCCCCCACCCCAGTCCCCGCCGGCAGCGCAGCCGGGGCTTGCTTTTCCTCCCAGCTCCCACCCACCCCCGTCGCCAATGCTGGGAGGAGAGCG